AAAAAAAAAAAAAAAACACTTCCTCAAGCTTTATCTCCAGGTGCCATGCAACAGGCATTATTTATTTATTTATTTGTTTGTTTGTTTGTTTTTATTTATCTGTTATTTATTTATTTTGTTTGTTTGTTTGTTTGTTTGTTTTAGAGTTTCAGGGTTTTATGGGTTTTGAAGGTTAAAGATATCTTTCAGGTGATTCTTCATTTATCATTTCTGAAAACTACAAATGTTAGAAATATAATATAATATATATTATATAAAATCCTCAAAATAAATATAGTCTTTTATTTGTAATTATAAAAGACTGCAGGGTGATATAGCCACAGCCATATCACCCTGCAGCCCAAGAATGGTTGCCCGCTGAAGCTAAGCAGGGTTGAGCCTGGTCAGTATCTGGATGGGAGACCTCCTGGGAAAACTAGGTTGCTGTTGGAAGAGGTGTTAGTGAGGCCAGCAGGGGGTGCTCACCCTGCAGTCTGTGTGGGTCCTAAAGCCCCAGTGTAGTGACGGGGACACTATACTGTCAAAAAGCACTGTCTTTACGGATGAGATGTTAAACCGAGGTCCTGACTTTCTGTGGTCATTAAAAATCCTATGGCACTCATCGTAAAGAGTAGGAGTGAAACCCTGGTCTCCTGGCCAAATTCCCTCCACTGGCCCTTGGCAATCATGGCCTCCTAATAATCCCCATCCACTTGATTGGCTCTAGACAAACCGGAAAAGGTAGGTATAGTTTGAGACAGCGCCATTGGTTGGGGATGACTCACCGCTGACTGGACGAGACATCTGTCAATCAACGTATACAGGGAAGAACCAGCCGAAGAACAGCGGAGTCGTGGTAGAAAGTTCGGAGATGGTATTAAAGTAGCTCAGTTTAAATGAATTGTCCTTACTCTGGAATAAAAAATACGTGGTGTCTATTTACATTTAGTTAAAAGTGCTAGTAAGACATCAGCTCCAGTGGCGCAGATGGATAAGTGCGTGCCTTTGGCTTTTTGACGCGATCGACTCGGGTTCGAGCCCGCCTTTTGCCGAACTTTTTTTTCCTCCCTTTTCAAATCTTGTATT